TGGTGCTGTTTGTACGAATTGTTTTGAGAAATGCACATACTTTTTTGCAAATATTAAGGATGATTTGAGAAATGCACCAAAGTGACTTTAAGTGGTTAACAAAGTAGAATATCTGCTGTGTACAAACATTTAGCTGAAACACTCTGCAAAGTTCCGACTGATCTAAAGTCTCAGGTATACAACAGTTAGCTGAAACACAGCTGTTTACCCAAACACTACAGGCAACAGCGGCGCTGCATGGGACCAGAAGATGGTAGTGTCTCTCAAAGAGAGAAAAAAGCTTCAGTCTCTCTCCCTGGACTGGAATTCTCTGGGTTCCTTTGTCAAACAGACAAAGAGGAACAAGAACAACACAGAAAAACAGGCCACGCTGCACAGAAATCATTCAAATTAAATAAAACAAGTTCCTACATCCCTATGGACATAACACTGTGCTTCATGAAATCTGCCTCCATTGATTTATTTACTGAGAAAACAGCACAAAACAGAGTGAGCTGATATCTTCCAGCATATCCAATAGCCCTTGTTCTGGCACTAAAATAAGATAGATAGATAGATAGATAGATAGACAGATCTAGATAGATCTGGATAGATGATAGATAGATAGATAGATAGATAGATAGATAGACAGATATAGATAGATAGATAGGTAGGTAGGTAGGTAGACAGACAGACAGACAGAGATAGATAGATAGATAGATATATTACAGAAACAATGTCTGGGCCACCAACAAACCAAATCTTTTAAGATCTGTTTTTTTTTTGTAACTGCTATCTTATTTTGTTTCTGTAGATGGTAGTGCAATAAAGATGTACTTCTGGTTTGTCTGCTAGCTCTTCCTCCATGACTTCAGTCAGCTGTGTCAGCACAAGCCTGTCTCAGAGGAGCTGCTGTAGATTGTAATTATCATTCTAAACTGAATACCGTTTACAAAAACAGCGACAATCCCACTATGGTCATCTTGTAAAGGAGTTTTTGTTGCTTGCCTCTGTCACCCTTTGGCTTGCTCCTCAGGGGCTTAAAGACAATTGATTGAACTATCTGGTCGACTTACTGAGACTATACCATCTTCTGTAGAGTTACTTTAGTTGCTAAACTATTTCTCTGTTCAAAGCAAGGCTGTGTTGTGTATAGAGCACTATATACATTGCTTTGTCTGATTTCAGAATAGCATTCTACTCTTACTATCTCTGCCATCTGCCAAGCTGTGCACCTGATGTGTGATTTATTTCTGTGAAGACACAACACAACAAGCTTGTAAATGCAAGGTGTGGTGTTTTAAGAGTGTGGTGAGAGCGCTCAGACAGGGTGAAGTCATTAGTAGGAGTGGAAACTGTGAAGCCTTCTCTGTCCCTGCCCATGTCTTTCTGTGGTTACCAAACACACAGCTCCAACAAACTGAGTCACAGCTAACAGGAATTTTCCCATTCTCTCTCTCATACCACTTTTCCACTTTTCGACACAGCCATATGCAGCTCCACTGACAGAGAAGCTTCTGTTTTGGAAACCCTGAACCTGTACACTGTAAAAAAATCTGTTAACTTTATGGTAAAATACCGGCAGCTATGGTTGCCAGAACTTTAATAACTAATGTTTAATCTCTTATTAAGTGTGTAATATATAACTAATACTCTTGAGTTGCACCACTGATACTACCGCAATCATTGTGAAACATTCCTAAGCACAATATGCACAAATAAAAGCTTTGAACTATGGCAGAACTTAAAGGGTTAGTTCACCCAAAAATTAAAATTAGGCTGCGTTTTACTCACCCCCGATGCATCCTAGGTGTATATGACTTTCTTCTTGGCTGTGACTGAAGTCAGTTGTAGTTTTGTTTCTTGCTCTTTTCTTCAGGGATTCTGCTTGTTAACAGCAGCTGTTGTTCAGTGTCTGAATTCACTCATTAGTTTTCAATCACTCGGTCTAGTGGACTATATAGTGAACTAATGTAGGGAATAGTGAATGAGGGTGTAGGGTGTGATTTCAGACACAGTCTATGAGTGTTGAATCTGAGGCTACTTCCTCGAAAACAAAGGTTAGATCTATTACAGTTATTCACCGTATATTGTAAGGAAACTTACTGTTAATCATTTAACAGGTTTTTACTGTGGCATTTCTACAGTCTTTTACCGTTAAAATCACGATAATGTTTTACAGTGTACAAGTATACTGTTAAGAGCTGAGATACTTGGATGAACTCGGTCTTGATCGCATACATTTCTCAGAGTACAGACGAGTCCATGTCATGGTTAACATAACAGATAAAAAAATAAGTAACAACATAACATGTTGTCAAGCTGTTTTTTTTTTTTTCATTCAGAGCATCACGTCAGAGGAATTCAATACCACGATCAATTAGAGGATGCATATCGTTTAACTCTTTTAAGTATAATTTTAAGAAACGGCTTCTTCACAATCAACAATGTGAACATTAATGTTGCTTTATCTATTTTGATAAGCTGCTTTTTATTTTTACTTTTTTTTTTAAATTGCCATTTTGTATAATCTGTTGTTTAATTGTATTTTATAGAGTTGTTTATATTTTTTGGTTGTATTTCGTTGTTGTTCTTCTACTTCTTTGTTGTAGTTTTTAGGCCTAATAACATCTGGCAAAGAGACTAGCAATGAAAACTAGCCTTCGGGCTAATTTGGGTACATTTACATTCATGACTGTTGATTAATGTACATTGTCCCTTTTTGTGAAGTAAATAAATAAATAAAACAAAGATAAAAAGACAATGATAAATATCTCCCAGTCATGCGCGGTTGGTTAAAGACTAGGACTCGACTCAGACCCAACACTACTGCTAAGGAGAGCATGCATATATCTGATTAAAGAGAATTCAAATATTTCATTTAATATAAGTATTATTTTAATTTTTAATCTTTTAGATTAAACAAATATCTGATTTATGATGGCATAAAGAAGCTGAATTAAATGTATATAAAATATCTTCTCAAAAAGGCTGAAATATGTTAAGTTTGTTTAACACTTTACAATAAGGTTACATTTGGTAACAGTTAATACTAGTGCTGTCAAACGATTAATTGCGATTAATCGCATCCAAAAGAAAAGTTTTTGTTTACATAATATATGTGTGTGTGTATTACTGTGTATGTTTATTATGTATATATAAATACAAACACATGCATGTATATATTTCAGAAAAATATGTTAAGTTTATATATTAAATATATTTATATATAATATAAAATATAATAATATAAATATATAAATGTATATGTATATGTAAATATTTTCAAAATATATACTGAATGTGTGTGTATATTTATATATACATAATAAATAAGCAGTACACATACATATATTATGTAAACAAAAATGTTTATTTTGGATGTGATTGATCACGATTAATCATTTGACAGCACTAGTTAATACTAACAAAAACATATCTGAAATAACAGTTTTTTTTTTCAGTTCATATTTATTAATCTAGTCTAAGGTTACAATGTGCTAGAATATATAAAGTCAGGGGATAGTTGTCATCATTTACTAGTAAATGTAAAAGTACAGTACAGTACCTAACCCAGAGTCACTGCTGTGAAATTTATTCAGCTCCACTTCAAATATATCATCACCTTATTCCACAGTGTGCATCCAAATGTAGGTTTTTATATATATATAAAAAAAACTTCAGCAAAAGTTTTGAAATTTTAAATATGTTTTACATTGTAAGTAAATGTTTATAAAAAAAAGTGGGAAAATGGGACAGATAAACACAGTGGAGTAAACAATCAAAGTTATGGTATCTATACATTCTAGAGATGATATCTTCACTGGTTCCGGTTCAGGGAGTTACTGTGAACATAACACTGCACAGACATGGAGGTGTTAGATCTACAGCATGGAGCTGCTCCAGACGGAGGCCAGCAGTGCGGCGCTGAGAGCCCCAGCCACAGACAGCTGCGCAGCACTCGCTCCGTTGCACAGATTTACAGCGCAGCAGCTTTTGGTCACCGTGTATCCCGCACCCAGGATGCTTCCAGCGGTGTTGTTGCAATCAGATGTGCACCCACTGGAGGACAGACTCAAAAACCCCGTCACATTGAACTCTGCGAAGAGCATTAGAGAGGAGCAGAAGCAAAATGTCAGAATTTATTAGTCTACTAATAAAAATAATAGTGTTTTCCAGAAGCCTGTGTTGGTAACTTTTTAACCATTTGTAACAGTCCTGGCTTTGGTTTTCTTTTACAGGTAGGTCTGTAGTCTTTATAGCTTTATGTGATAATAAATAAACTGGAATGTGGAATAAAATAAGGAATGCTCTCCTCATTAAAATGTCTACTATATGTATGGACATGTTGTTGAAGCTGACTTATGAAGGCATCTAAAGTGGCCCTTAACTATATGAAAGTGTAATGAATTGGCTAAATCATGTTTTATTTGATCTACAGCACTAATATCAACAGGTTTGTGTGAGGGATAGGCTTTAGCAAATATCATCATCTCAGTATAAAACCATTGCAAATATCACAAAATGAAGTTCTTGTGTGTGTGTGTTTGTGCGTGTGTGTGTGTGTGTTTGTGTGTGTGTGTGTGTGTGTGTGTGTGTGTGTGTGTGTGTGTGTGTGTGTGTGTGTGTGTTGACTGACCTGCTTTGGCAGTGTAGCAGTTGGTCTCGGAGGCAGCGCAGGACACTTGGGAACTGAATAAACATTTGCCTAGAATGCCCACTTTACAGGAATTACACGTCAGGGCTTCACCTGGAGAAACACAGAACGACAACGGGAAATTAAATTAGCATTCTTGTAAACTTCTGGACATATCCCTCCCCCAAAAGGTCTGGGTAATCCTGATTGAGTAATTCAGTAACCGCGTATAGAAATGATAAAGAAATGTAATAGACATCATTTCAATATCTTCAAACAGAACAGCACAGCATGATCAGAATGTTGATGCTGTGTTATAAAAAATCTGAATAAAACTGGACTGTTGTGAGTCTGATAATCAAACGTGTCAAGCTGGTCCAATGTGGGTAACCTAAACATATTTCCCACCCTCTGTCACAAGCATTTTCCTGATGCTTCAACAATATCTACTTTATTTATTTTACTGTAATTGTAATGAATTAAAAACACTTAAAGAAAAAAATTAGATTAGGGAACACATATGTTTCTCTCAGTGTGTTTTCCCTCAGTAAACTCTTAATTACTGGTTATTGATAGTGCATAATGTAGTTGTTGTAGTAGTTATAGTAGTCAACCCTATTTGTAGTAGGGTTAAGTTAAGTCATCTAAAACATGGTCATGCAGAGTAAGACATTAATATGTGCTTAATGTGTATAAGTACTAATAAACAGCTAATATGCCTGCTTATAAACAACTACTTAAGTGAATAGTGTCTAGACATCTAAAGTGTCACAAAAAATCCCTCAAGTCAGAAACATTACAGTAAAACTCTTCCTTAATAACCTTAACAATGTTTTTTATTTATTTGATGTAACAGATCCTCTTTTTGCTCTTACAAATACACTTAAAACACACTGAAAAAATAATTGCCATCATTACAACAATGTCCTCAAACAAATGCCAGCCATGTATATTGTACTATATTCAGCTGAAAATGCAGCTTAGCCATCACAGGAATAAATTACATTTTAAAATATATTCAAATATAAAGTTATTTTAAATAATAGCAATAGTTGTCAGCATTATGGCTTTTATTGTATTTTAATCAAGAAAATGCAGCCTGGAGAGCAGAAGATGTTTCTTTAAAAGCATTAAAGAATCTGAATTATGTCATTAATTAAGGGGAGGAGATGATAAAGGACCTATTTCTCTGTAGACTTACTGAGAGTGAGGAATCCAATCGCTGCAATGACTCCAAGCACAATTCTGATCATCATGTTGACGACGCGTTCAGCAGAACTGAATTCTGACAGCAGAGAAACTCTTCGGAGGACAGCAAGCACACTGGATGCTGGTCCGAATCTGTCCAGATATATGGCCGTGATAGAGAGGGTGGGGTTTTTTTGACAGAGGGGAGACAATGAATATGTGCAGCTGGAAAGACGCATATGAATGTGAAGAATGAACAGAGCAATCTGGTTTGGGGAGTTAAGAGATACCTGATTATTGACACACACACACACACACACACACACACACACGTGTACTTAGTTATATAAATTGGGACATTTTGTAGACGTCAATTGTTTTTTTTGTTTATAGTTGGTTATAAATGTTGTAACCAACCCTAACCCACACCCTGAAAGAAAATATTCTTACAATGAAAAGAAATGTACCCAAAAGGAGGTTTGGAGAGGTTTTGACAGATTCAGTTCACTTCTAAATACAATTTAGTCCCCAAAACATGCTAGTATTATGAAGTAGTAATGCAGTAGGTACACACACACACACACACACACACACACACACACACAC